CTCCTCAACAGACTAACCTCCATTGGCATCTCAGGTACTCTGTTAGACTGGTTCAAATCTTATCTCTCTGACCGCACTCAATACATTCAGCTTAAATCCTTTCATTCCCAGTCTGCCCCCGTCTCCACGGGTGTACCCCAAGGCTCTGTCCTCAGACCCTTCCTCTTCATCATTTACCTCCTTCCTCTAGGTCACATCTTCTGCAAATTTGGTGTCTGTTTTCACCGTTATGCTGATGACACACAGCTCTACCTGTCAACAAAACCAAACTCCACCCACCCACCCCCCATCCTCACCGACTGTCTCAATGAGCTAAATCACTGGTTTTCCAACAACTTCCTACAACTAAACAGTAACAACAGAAATCATTCTTGTCGGTACCAAAAACTCTCTTTCAAAATCAGAAAATCTTCTCATCCCCCTTAACAACTCTCTGCTTTCCCTCTCACCTCAGGTCAAGAGTCTTAGTGTCATCCTCGAAACCACTCTCTCCTTCACTTCACACATCAACAATGTCACTCGGTCTGCCTATTTCCATCTCAGAAATATTAACCGTCTCCGCCCTTCTCTCACACCCCGCTCCACAGCCATCCTTGTTCACAGTCTTGTGACTTCTCGGATTGACTACTGCAACTCCCTTCTTTATGGCCTACCCAACAAATCTCTCCAGAAGCTACAATTGGTCCAGAACTCAGCTGCCTGTGTCATCACTCAAACCTCCTCCTATAACCACATCACTCCAGTCCTGCAGCAGCTCCACTGGCTCCCAGTTAAATCACGCATCGTCTTCAAAATTCTTCTTCTCACTTTTAAAGCTATCCACAACTTTGCCCCTCCGTACCTATCTGACCTCCTACACATCTCCATCCCCTCTCGCTCTCTCAGATCCTCCTCTTCACTACACCTCCATGTACCCTCTGTCTGCCTCTCCACCATGGGGAGAAGGGCCTTCACCTGCTCTGCCCCTCATCTCTGGAACTCTCTATCCCCTGACTCAAGAAACACCACCTCTCTTTCTATATTCAAGACTGCTCTGAAAACACATCTCTTTAGACTCGCTTATCCT